AAAATGACGCTTTCTTGACGTTTTTACAGTCAAATCAATTCTGATCAATGTCTTTAACAAGTAAATTAATACTAGCTAGTACGTGTGCACGTCTATTAGTAAAGTAGTTACGCAGCTGCCTACGCACTAAAGTAAAAACACATCTGTTTCAGTCTCTTTATGTTTACAACACCTCGGGTATGTTTTCTGACCAAAGGCATCAGTGGGAATTATATAGTGCACTGCATGAGCTAAGCGGATCTCAGGTTCGCTTAGCTCATGCTGTGCGTGCAAAAAAGGTCTTTAGTTCCGACTCGTAATCATAATATACTTGAAATTTATTTTTTTCTTGCATTTGAAGAATCTGTGTGGCTATGTTGATCACTTCCGTAGCTGCTTCCTGTTAACGTTTGTATTCTTGGTTTTCACTGATCACGTGATATTCTAAAAATGCTATTTAGAGGTTTAATTAGCGAAATGTTAATACTGTCCTCAATAGAACATCTAAATTAAAGGATCATTACGAAATTTTGAGCCAAAATCGGCTCAATGCGTTTTAGACTGGCCAAGAAATACCTACAAAAGTGTTTGTTTTAAGATCGAAATGTTTTTTTTATGCTCAAGGCCAAAAACAGCATATAATTCCCAACAGTTATGCAAAGTTTGAAGTCAAACTGCGATTTTGTAGCAAAAAAAATAAGCGTTTGAATACGGTCTTCCTTTACAAGGGAATGTATGGGAAAGCCCTGATGGTGTACTAATCCTGTACACCAACCATGCGGTCAGTAACTCCTAGTGTCGAAATAAGCTCAAAACTAATGATTTCGCTTTAGTTTTCCAACAATATCATTCTAAAAAATTAATTTAATTCTGAGGCTATACTTGTTTTAAGATTAATAGGCTTTCCGAGGTTAATTTGGCGTGTTTCTAGTGGCGTGACAGTATTGTCAGAAAATGCAGCGCGTATAGTTTTTTTTTCTATGTGAGACCTTTGTCTTCGGGCTGACCTTTGCGTCCCGAACGCATATCACATTACGAACTCGGCTGTACCTTTGCCTCCCGATCACACTCCGATCTCTAAACGAAATATCATATTACGAACTCGGCTGTAAACAAGCGTATCATAGAACAGCAAAACTGCTCGGGGTTTACTGTGGCTTTTATACTAACGAGATATAAATCGATACTTCGTAGATAAGTGAAGCCCGTGGATGTTTCATACAGCACGCAGTTTGAATTGAAGAAATATTCTTCAAAACTCGGAATTATCTACTGTTGAGGTCAGACTCTTCCGCTTATTACTCATCTGAGCATTTGGGATAGCGGAAAGTTTTCTGTTAAAGGCGAAGAGATCTCAAGTTATACGATCGACAGCTCTTCTATTATACGAACTAGTACTCTAAACAATCGTATCATAGAACAGCAATAACTGCCCGGGATTTACTGTAGTTTTTTAGTAATTCTTTGATATTCGAGGACTTTTTGTTATTCCAAAACATCCATCTGTGTAAGAGCATGTATTAGGACATTGGTTTAGGTCATAAAGGTTGGTGTATCGAGCCAAATAGTTCATTTTCCTTGGCGAGATATAAACCGATACTTCGTAGCTGACTACGTGGCTGTCTGATTCTGATTTGCATAGCCTATATTTTCTAATTTGATGAGGGATTCTGTCTCTTCTGGTTAAAGAAAACAATGCTATTCACAGATGAGTATTCCTAGATGAAGATCGTTTAAGCGATCATGCATGGTTATAGAGCGGGCCCTTCCTGTTTGCGAAGATCGCTCGCCACACGGC